TACAGGCATTCTGTCCGCAAATGGGGTGCGGCCCTCCGCCCCCCTCCTCCCGCGTTTTTGAACTGCACAAGCTCGCTTCAAACATCATCCTGCAAGCAGACACAGAGCGACCCAAAATGGACCCTTTCAGAACCCGTGATACAGACATACTTTTCAAACGGGGGGGGGGGGTGCTGCGCCCTCCGCAATCCCCATCCTCGTTTTCTGCCATGCACGGCTTGCTTGAAGAACATCGCGCCAACAAGAAGACTTTCGTCAATCGCATAGCTCTTTTCGAAGTTGTCAAGTTTTCAAGACCCCTCATAAAGGCAACTGGTGGAACGAATTCACTCCAGGCATAGATTGTGCCAAGGAATTCTCGCCAGGGCCCGAGTACGATCCCAATTCCTCCTCACTCAGCATGCCGCCCAAGGGGTTCCCATTTCCAGAGGACGCGCGCTCGGATATCTCGTTGCAGTAGTCCTGGTTCAAAGGCATTCTGTCTACACATGGGGTCGGGGGGCCGCCCCCCCCCCCTCACTTTTTTAAGCCGCGCAAGCTCGCCACATCATCCTAAACAGAGCCACTTCACCCCGAGTTTTTCAGCCAACCACTCCGCCTGAAGAGTCCCGGTTTTTTGAGCCGCAATCGCTGCGTGAGGGAGCGTGTTTAAGATATATGATGATCCGGAAGCGCCATATGAGGGGGCATGTGTAAGATATATGATGACCCGGAAACGCTAGAAGTATATGATTATATAGTTATAGAATATATAATTAAGTATATAATTATATAATTACATAACTATTTAATTATATAACCATATACTTACATAATCATGTAATTAGATAATTATTTAGATATATATCTATCTATATATATATATATATCTTGAATACGCCCCCTCATTTGGCGATTCCGGTTCATCATCACCACCATGATCATGACCATCATGATCAATCATGCGTGTATAATATATATATATATACATGTATACATATATACATATATACATATATACATATATATACACACACATATATATATATATATTATAGTATATTATATTAAACATGCGCTTGCTTGGCGATTCCAGTTCATCATCACCATCGTCATCACCATCATCATCGCCATCATGAAACATATAATTATATATATTTTTATACTTATATAATTTTATGATTAAATGATTATATAATTATATACGTTGAACCGGAATCGCCAGCTGAGGCGGCATGTTAAGAGATAGATAATTAGATAGATAGATAGATAGATAGATAGATAGGTAGGTAGATAGGTAGGTAGATAGATAGATAGACTGATAGATTGATAGATAAACAGATAAATAGATAGGTAGAGAGAGGGATATATATATATATGTTTGCTACTCTCCCCCCTAAAGCCCGCAGAATGTATGAAAAGAATCATCATCCACTAATTATGTGCTATGCTTCAATGCCGACACACAGCGCTGTCGAGTCTCGGACTGATTCGTGTCTTCTGTGACACACACACACACATACATAACACGACAAATAACAGCGGGACAGAGATTCCGCCAGGTCGTATTTTCATGGGAGCCCTTTCAGGGAAACATGGCACCAGTAATAACAGTAGCAGTAATATTCCTACGAATATTAATACTCATAGTAATAGTGATATTAGAGCTAATATTCATGTCAATATTAATGCTACAATAAAACTAATACGAAACTCAAGAGCAACACGTATACAAACTGCTCATAGTAACAGAGATACTAGAACTAATGTTCATATCAATTATAGTGCTACTACTAACACTAATACCAATATTCTTGCGAATACGAGTCATCATATTCGTAGGAATATTAATGTTAATAGTGTTGTTAATACTAATGCCCAGATGTTTACTGATACCAGTAGTAATACAAGTAATAATAACCCTACGAATACTAATACGCATACTCTCATGGCTGTTAATGACATATACCAATACTGACATTGACAACTTTTGTATATTCAAATTTGTTCTCGTATTAATACGAATATTAATTAACATTTACATCAAGGCTGATACGGGTATGACAATACGAACACGAATGCTAACGTTAATACTCCCACGATTTCCAATAATCATACTCATATTGACATTAAAATGTTTAGTAATACCAATACAAATACATACCTACAGTAACGCTGATGCGGCTATGACAATACGAATACTAATACTAACATTAATACGGCTACATAACAAGAATAGTTCCAAGCAGACGAGGAGGACAGGCAGGACCAAGGGGTCATGTTCCGAAAACCACAAGAAAAACAAACAACGCCAGACCAAGTCACATAAACAAAAACTTTTGCAACCAAATATGGCAACAGGACCCCGTTCGGTTTGTAAGAGTGGACGACGGCCTCGGGGTAATTTTCGAAAACTGAAGCCCAGTAGTCCCGAACTCGAAGTCGAATTGACACTGAAAGTGCCCCAACTAGAAAAACCGAACATGGAAGTGTCAGATAGCTAATTTGCAGTGACCATTTCCAGTGCTTTGCCTCGCTCAGGTGCTGTCTACTCGCTGGGTAGATGACGTTGTCCTTGGCGTGCCATGGAAGATAACGAAGGATTTGCTGGCAACGATGCTATCAAGCTGCAACAAACCTTCGTGCGTCATTCATGCAGCTAGCTGGAGCATTTGGACCGGTGAGTTGGGCAAGGAACATCAAGACCGTGGTTGTGGGGAGGCCACCTGGCGGGTTGGAGTCGGAGCAATGTCGGGCCGAGAAGGACAGTCGTCTGTGGGATCAAGGAATCTTTCAGCGCTTTCGTGAGTTGCTTTGCGCCAGGAGCAGATGGCTGTAGCCCGGGCAGAGGGCCTTCTGACGGAGCTCTCGAGCTCCTTTGCGGTCTCCTCGGAAGCGCTGACCCATCCTCAGGCTTGGCTCGCGGTGCACACGGCACCAAACTGTCGCTAGATGTAGTCAAGAAACTCATGACGGTGAGCACCTGTGGAATTCGCATTCTCTGGCTAGTCAGGGTACTTGATCAGATGAGATGCCATGCATGAAATCCCAACTTGACGGTACAGGTGTTGCAGAGCTGGGCAAAGCGGGATTGCTTGATAAAACAGTTGCGGTTCTCAAAGCAACGAGTGGAAGCAGCCGTGTTCTACCATTCCTTCCCTGAAACAGCCATTTCCAGTCAGCAAAGGAAGCAGCGCTTCATTGCCAGATCTGGTGCCTTTGTGGACAGAAACAGATCCTTGGAATGGAAAGGTCAGAGGTTCGGCATTTGACAGCATGCGAAACTCAGGCAAGCTCTTCGAGAAAGAGCTGGCCTACGTGAGCACCAAGAGCTACGTACCGGAGGCACCACAGCGAATCACAAGGATATCGAGTTATGTGTAGCAGTGCGCGTTTTGGCAGGCCTGACGGTTGCGGTCGTGAAGTGACATACGTGAGGGCCGTGGAGGTGCTGTTCCCCAAATGTAGCAATTCTATTTTCGGATGCCTCCCGGTTTGTGGCTAAGACTCCTGTCGGTTGCCTGAGGAAGCTCTCCCAACTCATGCGGATGTTCATCGTGCTGCGCTTCGTTTGCGCCGAGGGATGAGAGAAGGACTTGGACAGCACGAGACTCTGCCGGAGATGTCACCGGTTGGCGATTGCGTGGGGCGGCAGGGCTTGCAGACGTACTCATTGGAGGGGCTGCAGACGTACTCATTGGAGAAGCCGACTTCGTGGCGGGCCTTTGCAGCCCGTCGCGACCATGTTCGAGCAGCGAACGACAAAAGACGCTCAGTGCTCGCAAGCAACGAGGGCTGAGCATGTGTTGCTGGTAAGCACAAAACGCACGGAGAAGCAGGCGGCATCGCGCAAGCAACGCTGTGTCTCGAGGCGGCGCCGGAGGCAGCGCTGCCCGTGCCGCCGCGGGCGGTGGAAGCTTTGCAGCTCAGTAAAGCAGTGTCCCTAACGATCGACCTTGGGACACAGCTCGTCCCCGCATGACCCACGATCAGGCAGATGTTGGTGCTGGCTTGCTAAAGGCGCCTCGGCATCTACCAGCGGTGCATGAAACCGGGTTTAGTGCTTTAAGACATCCTTGTCCGTCACATCGAAGGCACCCACAGCACTGCTCGCTGCTCATATCCAGCTCAGAGATGCCATGATATCTGCGGAGACTTTGCTTCGTGAGGCCTGCTGCCATTTTAGTGTGTGGACACATGCCGCCCGCTGTCACCAGTGTCGTGAAGCGAATCGCAGACATTGTGTTCCTGGCAGGCAGCGAATCGCAGCGACGGGGCTGGGTAGCGAGAGACAGAGCTGCCGTCATCCCCACTCGCACTCAACGAAGTGTGCGAGTGGCACAAGTAGATAGATTGCATATTCTGGGGCGTCCAGAAGTATCGTGCTAGTAGTCTGAGAGCTGGAATGACCAGTGACTATAGAGCTTGGCACTGGCAGGGTTGTGGAGTTAAGTGCTATGTTCGTTCTCATCGAGGTAGTCATACAGCATTGCAAAGCAGAACGGGCGTTACGTTCTCGAAATCGATTGTCGCGGACAATCAGTTTCAGTAGGTCACCTTTGACAACACTTGTTGTCTAGAAACTGTCGCGTGGTTCCAGCTGGGGAAAAGGGCTTCTGGCTTCTTCTGTGTATTGGTCAGCAGTTCAAATGGAGAATTCTATGGGTGATGGTGGTTCCCTTGCTGCACGACCGATCTCAACCTGGGAAACGTACAGCACACTCGATCCCTGTGAAGGCGTTATTTACCAGACTGCCATACCTGTTGATCGCTTGAGGTACCAGGATCCGCGTCTAGCAGTCTAGCGGTGTCCAAGTGCCTGGCAACGAGCGGCTTGCAGTCTCCCGTCGTTTGGCTCAGCTCAGGCGAGTCAACACTAGTGCCACAACCCATTTCTTTGCGTAGTACTGTGTCCTGTGATCAAAGGAGTGGCTCTCTAATGCCATGCCAACGAGTGTTATAGTCTCTGGTGGGTGGGTTCAGCAAGACTTTTGCTTCCCGAGTGCACTCCAATTCCTGCAATGGGGCGCGTGGAGCTTCCCCTGCTGGGTGACGGTGTCTCTGCGGAGGAGGACTTGCAGCGGCCTTGACACCCTGGGTCGGACCAATTTCTTCGTCTGCGAGGAGCTGCCCCGATGTTCGTGGTGCGGCAGCGTCTCCAGGACAGCGCCTTGCAGAAAGGCCAACGCATCTCACTTCGACAATGTTGGCTACAGAGCGTGACGCAAGAAACCGCCGGTCAACCCTGCGAAAGAATAGCCATGGCAACCCAGCATTTTGTATCAAATTGTTTTTGTACCCAGTACTCGTATCACCCAATGCTTCATCGAGTCGGCAGGTGTGCTGTTTTGACTGAAGGCACAGTGGTGCATTGCGAAGACTGTCTGCTAGGCCCAGCACTACCGCCGAGAAGGTGATTTCGAGTCTCCAAGCCCTTCAGCCCCTATCAGTCCACGTTGCCAGAAAATCCAGCCAATCCAGCCAGACGAGTCTGTGAAGCGCACCGGAGCCTGATGCATGCAGTAACAAAGAAAGTCAACTGCGGGAGCCGGAGAGCCCAGGCTCAGCTGGCAAAAGAGAAAAGAGGAAGTGAAAGAGTGAGTTTTGTTTAGAGAGTGGCTAGCAAAGGAGAGAGAGGTCGCGAGAGGCAAAACACCCGCCGAGCAGGAGTGTGTGTGGCTACTGCAAGGCGGGCAAGATCGCTTGGACTCGTGGCAAATCGCTGCTGGTTATACCAGTGCAGGTCAGGGCGTACTGCAGCTTGGAGTGCCAGCAGAATGACTGGAAGTCTGGGCCGGGAGCTTGCAGCCCACGTCTGATATTTTTGCTGCACCACTGATGCGCACTGCAGAGGCACCAAACGGCATGTGTTCGGGTAGCACCACCTGCTGTGCAAGCAGAGGACTGGGTTTGTGAAGTCTTCCATGTCTTCTGGGACCCTGGGATATACTGGATCTGTTGGACGTGCTAGGACAAGGACTTCCAGCTTTACGAGGCGAGATCAGATTTTTCTGCAAAGGCGCTCGTACCTCATCTTGGTCGTGAGAGCCCACTTTGCAGGTGCCCTATGTCGTGTCAATGCCTCAACCGGCAGTGCACCGCCTTCATGCGCAGCACAGGGTTTGGGATTTCTGCGCTCCAGGCGCTGGGCCATCAACTTGGAGCAGTGGAGGATGTCAGCAGACAGCAAGGAGTACGCGCCACCTGGCTTGCATTCCGTCTCCAGGGTGAGGTGCAAGATACACCGCAGCCATAGAAGATAACGAGGACAAAATTCAGACTGCGCCTGTTGGCTCCTGTATCCAGCCGGACATTCGGAGACTGCACCGACACTGTCTGGAAGGCGAATGTGCCGTCACTTGCCTTCCTTTGACGTCAGGTTGCGAGAGCAACGAATTCGGAGCCAGAAAGAGCACATTCCGGATCATCCAGACGATGCTTTCCCAAAGCCCTGACTTGACTCATCAGGCTGAGGCAACAGGCAACAACAGCCATCTCACCGACCTAGATTTGGATTGCCGCAAACGGACATGGAATTGGGATGAATTGGGTGCAAGCAGTATGGCCAGGATAGTTAGCGCTTGTGCTGGCATTTTGGTTGTGTTAGCAAGCCCTCCATCAAGGTTCTTGCTCAGCCGCATTCCCGACAACGATGCAAGAAAGCGAATTGCCTCATCGAAGTCATGGAGCCCTGCTCTATGCTGACGGCAGTTTCCGATCGATGCAACCGCCTCACCAGCTGGAGGAGCGCGGCGAAGCTTTCGCTGGCCAAGGAGCTCGCAGTGCGTGCGGCTCAGGCTTCGCAGCAAGCAAAAACCCACCTGCTGCACAAGACAAGCCTATAGGTCTCAAGCTGGAATTTTCTGATTTTTCTTGATTTCGCTTTCCTTGAGGCGTCGGATGGCCGAGGTCCTCACGCAGGCCATCTGGACGAAGGCATCTCAGCATGAATATACTCGTATGTGAATGGGTCCAGAACGGATAAAGTGCGGGTAATTGTGGAAAAATTGGATGGGAGTCGTTGTAATGCCCTGCAGCGGCCGAACCTCCGAACTAACTAGGCCCCACGTGCAGTAGTTACACAGGGAAGTTTGGGGAAACAACACGGCTTTCCCCACAAGGAACGGGAGGCAGCCAGAGGAATACAGATACCGGAGCGGAACAGGAGTCGGGAGTTGCATTCAAGTCACCGAGACAGCCACGTACCCGTGAAAACAGAAAGTCGCGCGGATGCGACATTCGCAGAGCCGAAGCCGCGTTTCGGGAAGATTGGCGGCAGAATATGGAAGAACGAGACTAGTTGGCAGCCAGCATACAGTACCCAGCCTAGACTGCACACTCCGACACGCAGAAGCTCAGAACCTCTGCTGGAAGCTCACAGGACAACATACGAAAAGCCACAAAATCACTAATTACATATCATTGTCATTACACCTGTGCATCTAGCAAAGAGGCAGCGCGCAAGCTGCTGCCAAGATACCAAAACAGCTCAAGACAAGGACCAAGCAGACGAATCTTAGTTCAGCAGCGGCAGAGCTCAGGGAAATGTTTCGTTGGCACAGGTGCAGTGGCGGCATGACTCGACCGCCGTGCCATACCCAGATGTCAGGTTTGAGAGCTCAAGGCGCAGCCTTTTTTGCAAGTGGTGCAAGCCCACTCGGAATCGAGGACAGGGACTTCCTCTTGCAGAAAGAGGAGTATGCCGAGATCTCGAAGCAACGGCAAACAGCATAGAAACCGCTGGCGGTGGTATCTCAGTATATCGAGGTTTGGACCGGGCAGAAGTACCAAAACTCCAACCGGAGGCACTATTCAGCAACCGGCAAAGGGGGCTAGCTTACCACAGAAGCTCGGCTTTGCTTGCATCAACTTTTGGGAGATTTCTGCCTGTGCGCTCTTACGCAGGTTCCCAAATTTCAACTTCTCGATGATCGAGGCTTTGTGCTGCCCAAAGCAGATGCTGGCAAAGGAAGCTCCTGCATTGAACGCAGACCGACAGCTACTTGTTCCTCGTCTCCCATCCGCTGGCCATCACCGGCATCTATGCGAGTGAGCTGATCAACTCGTGGCAACGTCGTAGCATCTTGTAGCTCCGTCAAGCGACGGGATCTCGCAGGTGGCCCGTTGACCGCGGCTATGCCAGACCCGAGAGAAGCCATGCACACAGCACTCGTGTCCCTTCGATCGCTTCGAGCCTCCGAGACTCCGAGAAGCACCGCAAACTCAAGGCCTTTGCCGAAGAGCTTGCAGCCGCCACGCATGCGGAGCAAGTAAAGGCGGCAACTCGGCAAGCCTATGTGCATGTCCTGAACAGGTTACTTTCATAGATGAGGGTCCAGCTTCGCAGACTTCCCCGCGGCAGGTGCAGTCTCCCACTCCCGCGGTCTCTGCTGAGGAGGTGGAAGCATCTTTTTTCGGCAGCTGCAGGGCAGGGCAAGCCCATGAAGCACGATAGCTCTATGTGAGGAGGAAGACTCCCGCATGCTCGGTGACGCAGAACTGATTGAGGACTCTTGGCTTGTTCTTGCTTTCCTTCTTGCGCGGCATAATTTTCTGTGCCTGTCGTCCTGCGTGCTGGCTGTTGCAGGTGTGTGAGCCAGCTTCAGATCAGCAACGCCGCGAGCGGTTGCGGCACGTGCATAGCTCGGCGCTGTCGTCCTCGCAGCCTGTGGCTTTATGTGCTACCTTTGCAGCATTTCATTTGCGATTGGCCTGCTTTACGGATGCCCGAAAGCCAGAAGTTTCGTGTTTTGCCTGGGATCCACTGCGAGTGATGATGCAAAGCCATGAAAAATCGAAGCTGGGACAAAGCAACAGTCCCGGCCGGAGTCTTGTAGGCCGCCCGGGTTTGGTGGGCCGGTGGGTTTTCATATGTTTTCATATCTTTACATCTTTACAAAATCGACCGGCTTGGAACGGACCGGCAATTTTGTACTGGTGTTGATGAGTAACGCCGCAGGATGAGGTCGGAAGGGGAAGCGCAACATTGATAGTTACAACATCTTCTTCGGTGAAACAGGCTTTCATGTGAAAGCCCAGCAGTGCTCAATATCTGCATAGCCGCGTTTCAGTCCTTCTCCTGATCCCCCGGCCACGCTATGGCTCGGAGCATGTTGGTACTAGTAGTTTGTTTTGCCAAACGGAACATGCAGCAAGAACCTCCGGCCAGAGACCTGGAAGCATGACGAGATTCACAGAATCCAGGCCCAGCCCGGCTGCAGCTTCGACTTCGCATGATCCACAGGACAGCTTATCCTTCAGATCCAACATGAGCACCGCTCCGTAAAGCTCTCAACGAATAGAATGGGAAGATTCGAGCTGTGGGCGCAGCATCATCCTGAAACTTGTCTGTACTTTGCCTTTTCCATGGATGTGTTGCTGCTGGTGTGTCTGTGCGTGCATGGCTGATGACATGTTCACCGAGGAGCGTTCATCCAAGGATGGCTACACAAAACATGTGGCTTCGCTCGAACACAATGTTTTGTAGTTTGAGCGGACTCTGGGCATTGATGTCCACCGAGGTGACGCAGGCACAGGCTCCTCATGAGACCGAAGCATTCTGGGTGGACAATAGCGAGCTCCAATCTGGAACACGTGGGATCGCCTACCGGCGCAGCATGAACCTGGCAGACAAGGAGCCGAAGAAGATCGCCGAGTTCAACACGGTGGTTCGAGGGATTCCGCACGAGTCCACCTGGCTTCAGGTGGACGACTTCTTCTTGCCGATGAAGGTAGGGGGCAAAGAGGTGCTTAGGAAGGTCTGGTGGTCTCGGACGAACATCGAAGACAACCTGGCCATTGGACCGTCTGCCGACGCAGCAGCCGAAGAAGTCCAGAAACTCCGCAAGGGAGGGGAGCCGGAGAACCCGGAAGTCCCGGAGGCTCGCACCACTCCGGAAAGCCCGCCACCGACAGCGTCACGACCGTTGGTCGCGGGCACTGGCTCTTGGTACGAGGTGGTCTGTGAAAGACTGATCATCCGCACTGCGCCTGACCTTGAAGCCCCTATGCAGGGCACCCGACGCCGAGGTCAGAAACTGGAAGTCTTCGACTGGGATCCTACAAGGAAGTGGAGGAGGATTTCTACATCCTTGGGGCCTGCTTGGGTTATGTTGGATGCTGAGACTGGCCCCGTTCTGCGGCCAAAGGATGTTCCATTCTCGCAGCAGCCGCTGCACCCTCTGTGCCAAGCCGCACGGGAAGGATGCCTCCCAGACATTCAGCGCTTTCTGTCGGAAGGCCTGGAGGTGAACGCCCGCGATGTCGACGGACAGACACCCCTGATGCTTGCGGCTCAAAGCTTTGGCTGGGAAGGCTTCGTCGCATGCGTCCTGCTCCTGGAGGCGAATGCCGACCCAAACTTGACACTGAATCGTGCAGATGAGATGTTGTTGCGTGAGAAGATCGTGCGGCTCGAGCGAGAGAAGCGGGCTGCTGCCGAGCACGAAGATTTCGTCAAGGCCGCAAGCATCAAGAACGAGCTCGACGCCCTGAAGAGAAACCTAGACGAGCCTGGCAGCACCGCACTCACTCTTGCAGGCGAGACAGCTGCGACGGAACTGTTGAAGATGATGTCAACCGGAAGTTTGTTTTGTGACATGCAGAAGTTGCATGCAATTTACGATGAGATTCGTAGCGTGCCCGGCCCTGAATGCAAGGGTATTCCGGGCAGAGTTGAAGCGCTGGTTCGAGCCGCCGAACGGATAGACGCGCAGGAGAAGCAGGCTGCTGGAGAGCGAGAGCCTGCAGATGCTTGCGGCGATGGGCCTGTCGCCTCTCTGGAGACGACATACGAAGTCATCCAGGACACCAAAGAAGATGCAAGCGGTGCAAGCCGGGCAGTTCGGGCCGAGGCGGAGGATGGTAGCGATAGCGATGACCTGCCCTTGCTTGACACGGAGGTGGCCGAAGAGTCTCGAGCAGTGGTTTACCGTGTGGTGCACGACAAGGCATGGGTCTACGAGGAGCCATCGCTCTCCGCAGACCTTCTGGGTCAGTTGAGAAAGAATCAACTCGTGGAGGTCTTCGACTATGACCGTTCTAGATCATTTGGTCGTGTGGAAGTTTGCCATCGAAGCACCCGATTTCGGGAGAAGGGCTGGGTCTTGTTCCAGGATGAGTCGCTGGGAGACCTGCTGAAAGTGTTTCGGCGGTAGTGGAAAAGTCAGAGAGGTGGCTGCTAAGTGAAGTCTCGGGGCCCAAGCACGAGGTTCCGTGCGCGTTGTGCCTAATTGTGGTAAGGCCTTGGTGGGGAAGTTCGCGTACTTCAGGACCGAAGCGGAAGAAGCAGAAGCGATGCGATGTTGTCAGCATTCGTCAGCATCATCTTGCAGGACTGTAGGCAAGACCACCGGAAGGCAGTGGCAAGCTTAGGGATCAGCCCCCATGGTAACAAGCTCGATGCCAGCATTGCAGAAACCAGCTGAGGTGGAGTCAGGTTGTGCTTGGCCAGGAGGAGGCAGGGCTTTGGCTGTCATGAGTTTGTTCCGCTGACAGCCCGATTTTTGTCTCATGGCGTTTTGCCCGGGCATGCTGCAGAAAAATCGCCAAGAGTTGACGCACCACTGGCGAGCCAAGTTCGAGAACTTCTGTTGCCCTACGTCCACCTCTGGTTTTGATTCTTTGAACAGAAAAGATAGAAAAGGCCAGCAGACTCTGCGGCGACGACACCCGACTGCGCAGGGATCGGAAAGGCAAGGCCCCTCTTCGAGCCCAAACAGGCAGTTCAGCGCTCGAACGTTGAAGTCATCTCGTGCCATCGACCAGCCGTGCCGGAATCTGCCAGCCCCATGCATGAGGATTCTGAAGATCAAATTGGGCCTGTCCGGGAGTTTTTAGCGCAAACACTTCGTGAGATGGATATCTCTTGACATACTTGCACAGCCCCGCGGCTTCATGGGTGTCCAAAGCCGGCCACCAGAAGCAACGACAGCACGAGCAACCGAATGCCGTGCTGGCATCTGAGTACGGACGCCGGGATGCTCTCCATGACGACTTTGTTCCTGCTCCGCCCTGTGGCGAGAGCGAGACTTTCAGTTTGTTAATTTCCTCGAAAAAAAGCAGCCTGGCCTTTTAATTGACACTTCTTGGAAAACTAACAATGCTACAATTTGGCTGTTACTTTGGCAAGGGTCGTAGGGAACCGACGTACACAGGTTTCTGATGCCGTCGCCGGCGGAGTCAGCCTCAGACGCATGCTGCAGCGAGTTTCCATGCATCTCTTTTCTTTTCGGGCTTCTTCCCCGTTGCGAGGTGCAGAACCAGATGACAGGCATGATGTAGCAGTAGCGTCGCAGCGACGTATTTGTCATCTTGCAGGCCGTCCAGACCTCGAAGGCATCCTCTTCGCCTAGCGTGCCGTCCACTGCCCAGGCCAGGTGATGAGAGTAGCGCTGCTGTGATCGGTGGTGGAGCTGGCATGGATCGCCCAGAATTGGAGGTGGAGGTGCGATGTTCATTGCTGGAGGGACAACTATATTGTTGTTTGCGGGGATCTCGGATGCGCAGACTTGTGTTCGGGGTTGTGCATTTCAAGTATCATTTCAAGTGGTGCATTCCCAGTCTCACCTTCTTCTTCCAACATTGGGCTCCTACTTAGCTTCTGCTACAAGTAGGGCATGCAGACTGGGGGACGTCGAGCTGTTTGTGAGTCCGAAGCATGAAATGCCAAGGTCGCGGACCACCAGATGAAACTGTAGACCCTGAAGGCTTGCACGCGCGTAACGAAAACAGCAAGCAGGGGCCGCTGTAGTACCAAAGCTGTTTCAGCATCAGGAGTTTGAGACGGCCAGGTGAGTTCCAGCGCACACAGGCGGCAAGGTTCCTGGAAATCGCGCCCCTGCTGCATCTTAGTGAACTGATGGTAGGAAAACGGAAGAACTGACTTCTCCAGCTTACGGCTTTCCGTTTGTTAGAGGACAGCTACGACAAAGCTCTGGATCACACGGAGCCGCAGTTCATTGAGGCTTCTTTTGGGCAGCTCCGGGAGTGTGCAGAATATTTCGAACAACACCCGAACACCATCGAACCCCGGTGACCAGGTGCCGATAGTGGAGCTGCTCCCTGAGAAGTGGCACTCGGACTACGTGCGGGCTTGTGGAGGCCAGCAGCGACAAAACTGAAGCCAAGATACGGACAAGCGCACTTCAACTTTTGAGGCGGTGAGCGAGGGGACCAGACCCGGATCAACGACCTGGGCCCCTACAGGTGGTCTTGCAGAGTTGTCCTTTACTACATAGACTCTGCCCGTTGTGCTGCCAGCAGGCCTCACATACCGAAAGTCTGAGGCCCGCGAGAAAATGCTTTGGACAGCCATGAGTCCAGCATGTGAGCAGCTGGCGTTTGCATTGCACGGCCTGCTGTTTCATCCTTGCTGGTTCGCTGGAAGGCTGCGAACTGGCAGACGTGTCAAGTAGCTCAAGAGATTCAGATGGAAGATGTTTTCGCAGCATCGTGGCATAACACCTGTATCCGGGCACATGTGCCTATGAAGCACCACACGAAACATTGAAGCAGCAAAAGGCAAACGAGTGGTCCTGGTGTTAAGCTTTTCGGTGAAGTGAGCTTGTTAAAGGAAGATAGTGTAGTTGACCGTATTCTTGTATTTCGCTTCAGGCTTTCGACGCCATGGAAGTGCTTTCCTGTACAGCCTGCCCAAGCGATCCAAGTGGTCCGCGTCTTCGCGGTCTTCGTGCCCCAAGAGCCTCAAGCGACCTGAGGCGAGCTGTGAACTCAGATTGTCCGGTGGCATGGGGTCAACGCCCTCGTCGCTGGATGCAGTGGCCCCTGGCTGTCATGCTGCTGCCAGAAGCTGCCGTGGGGCAGGCTCCCGGCAAGGCTTGTCAATGTGACTTTGCAGACAACAACTGGATCCACGAGATAACTTCCATGCTGCAGCACGTCGAAGACCTTCCCAACACATTGCAGAACCCTGAGGCTTCCTCTACAAAGTGGATCCTCAGTCAGTCATGCGAGGAGGATGCTTCCAAGTTTCCGAACACGGATTGGGCATTTGACCTTCAAAACCAGGAAATCAAGTGCCTGCCAGAGCACACAGCTATGTCAATGGTCTGTGCTCAGCAATGGATAGCCAAGAAGTCCCTGATGGGAGTTGTCAAGTGGGTAACGAGGATCAATGAGCTTCTGCAGCTTGTGGCAGGCTGCATGGATGCCCACAGCCCTATTCCCTTCCGCGCCGACGATTTCCAGACCTACTTGGAGCGATTTGCCGGCGGCGTGCCTCCTCCCCAACATCCGTCCTTCGTTCAGACACTCGCGTGGCCAACGAAGGCAAGCAGGAAAACAGCATCTGAGACGAAGCTCCCTTTCCTGGACTGCATCCCACTGAAGGACCCTACATGCTTCCCGAAGCACACCTCCAATCCATTTGAGAGCTGCTCCGAGTGCTGCAACCGAAATCGTGGCCCCACGGGTCAAGTTCAGTGTTGGCAGTCGGGCTTCGACTTCGCTCGGTGCTGTGCCTCGGAGGCCTCAGAGGGCGGCTCTGAGGCTTCCAGCTGCCCAAACCCCGATGCCACGTTGCAGAAGAGCCTGGAAGAGGAGAGGCTGAAGAAGGAGGAGATCTCAAAGGAGCTCGCGAGGTGCCAGACAGACCAAGAGAAGGCAAACGCCCGGGAGCAGGAAGCAGAGAAGGCGACAGACCTGGCAAAGACTCAGGCCGAAGCGATGAAGGCGGAGACCGCCAAGCTCAAGGAGACGGCGGAGGCCTGCACTGTTTAAGGAGCCCCTAACTCTGTGCACATTTCCTCAGCCCGCAGGCCGCCGCTGCGGAAGTCGAAGATCTGAAGAAGAAACTTGCCGAAGCGGGTGCCAAGGCGAAGGAGCTCACAGAGGAGGTGAAGAAGCTACAAGCTGCTGCTTCCTCGGCAGAGGACCTGAACAAGCTACAGGCCCAGCTGAAGGAGGCAGAAGCAAAACGACAGCAAGAAACGAAGAAGCTCCAAGACCAGTGCAACGAACAGGTTGCACAGACGAACAAGAAAAAGGACAGGTACTGCGAGCTGAGACTGTCAGCGTCGATCGGCTTATCCCTGATTTCCAAGCTGTCTTTGGCATGCTTGCGGCGTGTGGCTGTCGGTGTGGGCACTGCCCTTTCAGCTGCTTCTAGCACAAGCACAGTGTGCAGGATATGGAGATTCAGAAGATGCAGTCTGAGCTCAAGGAGGCTCCGGCTTTACCGAGTGAAGGTCAGATGAGGGCCGCACGTGTCCGGGAGCGAACTCTAGGCCTAGGCCCTAGGCCAGCAGAGCGGTGAGAGCATAGAGTGCGAGCGCAGGCTGGCCAAGCCAAGCAGCTTCAGTCGGATCTTCAGAAGATTAAGACGGATCTAGCAAAGGCCAACGAGATGCTCGGCTCGTTAACAGAAAGGGGGGACATGGGGCATCGGGTCATAGGGCAGTGTTTTATTCGGTGACCGTCCGAGGAAGTCCAAGCAGGATGCCAGCGAAATCCAAAAGCTTCGGGCAGAGTTGGAGAAGAGCAAAAAGGAGAAGGAGAAGGGCAAAAGCGAAGCTCAGGGCCAAGGCCCAGGGGCGAACAAGGAGCTGGAAAAGCTGCGGAGCGACGTTGCCGCCGTCCCTCGCTCAGAAGCTCTGGCTTCTTTGGACAACCGAAGTTGAGCTGCTTTCTCTCAGCCTCAGCGCTTCCTTGTTACGGTAAGGCAAGTGGCAAAGCCAAGCAAGATGCTGCCAGCATCCAGAAGCTTCAGAACGAGCTGGTGGCGCATAAACAGCAGTGCGATACGGAGAAGAAGAAGATCACTGGTGATGGGGCCAAAGTGGCCGCCGAGTGCCAGACAAAAAGCAAAGCCGCAGAAGCGGAGCTCCTCGGCTTTGGACCGGGCCATTGGGGAGTCGGAGGGGTTTAGGGCTTCTGTGCGGACCTTTGGACCAAGGCTGCAGAAGCTGCAAGTCGAGATGAAGAAAAGGCAGCTTGGCTGGATGGCCTGGTGACATGCTTAACTAAGTGTGTGACACGAGAAGTTCATCGCTGCAATGACGGGGTCACAAGCTTCGGCTATCTGTTCAGCTGGTGTGAGTGGGTCTGCAACGGTATTGGCCTTCAGCATGGTCATTATTTTGCCAATCGATGCTCCGCAGGTATTCCTAATGTGCCTTCGGGTTTGCCGTGCTCGGGAGTCTTTGCGGGTTGAGTACACAAAGCATGCGTCGGCTGCAGACGCGGGCCCGTGCCCTGCATGATGTTGCAGCCTTAAGGCAAACCGAGAAGGAGCTGTGCAGCCCGTTGTCTCGGACATCCGACGAGTTGCAGAAGGAGCTCAAAAGCCTTCTGGGCATGGGACCTGGACGTTGAAAGCCCAGGCACCATCCGGGACTCAGACTGAACTGGCAGTTGCTGTTCTTGCTTGTCAGGTGTGCCAAAGATGCGCAGACGGGGCTGGTGGTATTGAAGCAGTTAAGTTAGCAAGGTCCCTTTTGCAGGGGCTTCAGAAGAGTTTGTCCCTGCTGGGTCCCTAAATCGGGGCCTTTGTCTGCTCCTATTTACATAGTTGAGCAGCCAGTTGCCAAGGGAGCTTATCTTCTCGCACCTAAGCTCGATTCCTTGCGAGGTAGCTGCGAGAAAGATTTGGGTATGTCAACTTGTACCATCGACCGTGCATTACAGTTGTGAGAATCTCCTCGAATGCTTGTCATTGGACATGTGCATGACCTTCGTTGTGAGACATAGCCACTTCCTGATGTGTTGAATGACTTCAGCTCATGCCTACGTGCTTCCAGATTCCCCAATGAGCTTCTTTGGTTGGTTTCGTTTGAACTATGCATTCGGACATCAAGCTCTTCGGGGAATCTCTGGACATCCCAGCACTAACATGACAAAAACGGGCTGCATCGCATCGATCGCGGAGGCGCAAGACTGTTCTATCAGTGGCTCAGCCTCCCGCCGCCTTGCAGCTTCAAACATATTGGTCGACCTCCTGTAGACAGTTCCCTGGTGGGCAAACGCAGTCCCAGAATGCTACAGAATGAGACTGTTCGCCTGCAGAGACAGCATCGTGAAGAGTCGGACCGGTTTGCATTCGTCACATGTGACCCTAAGTTGTGGGAGGGTGGGGCTGGCATATCACAATGAATCATTGGTCTGCAACAAGCTGCTAGTTCGGAAAAGCCGGAAGATGTGGCCATGGCGGGTTCGCGAGGGATCGCAGAAGAAAAACAGACTGGTCCACGGACACGCAGCAGCAGTCGTCGACGCAAGATCAAAGCAGAGTTAGAGGCCCGCGACCGGAACTCCAAAGAAGCATGGGAACTTCAGCAAGAACTGCTACTGGAGGGTGCGAGCTCTTCTTTAATGGAGGCTGCGCGCCAGCTGTTGCAGACGGAGCACTACCAAGCTGTTGTGGAGGAAAGGTCTTTGGATGGCCTTTGCGGCTATCCACCTTGCACCAAGCCCGCTCAAGCATTGCCGGCACGGCAGCGATGGTCGGTAAGTTATGGTTCGAGGGAGGTGATTAGTGCCGAAGAGCTCCGGAAGTACTGCGGCCCGGACTGCAGAAGGGCGAGCTCCAGGTTCTGTTCCAGCTTGCAGCCGGATCCCGTGTACATTCGGCCGGATTCTGCTGTGTTGCGTGCGAAGCAGGCGATTGCTGGACGACAGCCGCAGGCAGAACAGGCAGAGACCGGAGCGGAGCCGAAGGAGACGAAAGTCAGAGGAACACCGGAGCAGGCAGAGGCGCCGCCAAAGGTGCGCCCTCGGGCGGTCGTCCGATTCTCTCGGGAGAAGAAGGTCTACACGGTCCACTACCACGAGTACGACGGTGGCGGTGCACTGCCAGATGTGCCCTCCATCAAAGACGAACCCCTCGATCCCGGCCGCGGCCGAACGCGGTCGTTGGTGCGGGAACGGCCGACGGCCGACGATGACGTCGCAGAGCAGGAAGCCAGATCGCCCCGGGAGCTCAAAGAGCCGTGCTCTGATCCGGACGACGACGCCGCTCGTGATGAGAGTGCAGCTGCCTCAGCGTGGGGAACCCCTTGCAGTCCCCTCAGCACGAATGCTTGCAAGGATGGGGATGACGACTTCTACGATCCGGATGCCACAGCCTCAGACACTGCCGCACGAGATACAGTGTGAAATTGGCATGCTTGCACGGTAGACCATGCCATGGGCTTTCGGGGCAGTTTTGCAACAGCGTCTGAGGTGAAGCTGGATGGCAAGCCTGCGACCAATGACTTCGCTGCATCATGCTCGGACTGCTGAATGCCACAAACACTGCAAGTGAGGTCGGAGCTTGCATGGGTCAGGGCATGGGGAGCATGGCACCCGGGTTTTCAAAATGCTCCCAGTACTTGGTGGCAAATTGACATCCCAGACTCTGCAACGCATCCTTCCGAGATCCTCAGTGCTTGGCTGAGCGAGCCGGCCAGGGCGCTGCTGGCAGGCTGTGGCAAAGCACCCCAGTCGCGGCAGCGGGCAGAGTCGTGGCAGCGTCTTGCCAGGAGCTCGAGAGCCAGAGGGTATACGGGAGGAAAGGCGGCCCGGACACAAGGCCGAGACACGTCTGCTCTCTGAGCGAGACCTTGCCATGGCATCCTATGGCAGGGTCGGCGAGACCTCCTCATCGAGCTGCTGACCTCCCGACTTCCCGGGGACCGAGCGGAGTATTTGGGCCGGAAGAAGCTTTCAGCCCTTAAGACTTTGGCAGTACTCACGGGATGCTTACTTCGAGTCGATCTTGATTTTGCTGGAGACGGGAGCGTTCCCGGGGTCCTTTTGGCAGGAGCTGTCCTTTCTCGCAGGGCGCCTCTACGAGCTCGTCCGAGCCCAAGACTTCGATCCCCAAGTCAAGACACCCTAGAATCCGAGACAAGTCAGAGAAGTGTCAGTCGAGGGGAAGAGAGCTCGGCCCAGGCCTCCGCTTTGTCTGTCCACCAGACCTTGCCTTCCGTGACCGAGCACCGGCTCTACGACCTGCTTGCAGCGACTTGCACTGAAAGAGAGCAAAACGGAACGGTGCATCAACGCACCACACAATTCCTGGGCTGAGATCAGCCCGCATTCATGGACCTTGATGTGATGTTTTAGGCCATCTTGATTCGACGGCTCTACGAGAGCGACGCTGCAACAGGCACCCCCTGCGAGTTGCATCAGTCTGGGCAGCATGCTACGAAGACAACGCGCTCTGGGCCCCTGGCCGTGTTGTCGGTGATTGTCAGCTGGACCTGAGATAACCAAGTGGTTGATTGTATCAGCTCTAGTTCGAATTCGCCGCAATCGCAGGATTGCAGCCGGACAGCTACGTCCTGAAAAGGTTGAATCAACAAGTGGAGGTGGCCCGGCGGTTTGGCAAGCGTGGATTGCCTGCGGGTGCAGCGACAGTCACAGCATCCGTGGTGGCAACCCATGTCCAGGAAGCTGCGAAAGCCTTCGGCATCAGCGATCAGGAATCGGCATCATCCATCATCTTAGTCACCCTCAGCCATTCCCACTCCTTGATAAGTGTGTTCGGCAGGAGCTCCAAGTGCTGCTGCAACTGGTGCGAGGGGAGTCTGCCCGGTGACGAAAAGGCGTATTTTGAGAAGCTTCATGAAGCCACGTGAAGACATTGCTGGACGCGTCCTGCTCACATGTTGGCTTCCTCAGTTATGGCGCTCACAGTCAACACGAATTTGGTCATGTTGTCTGTTGTATCATTATGCTAATCTAAGTTGCGTCCGAGCTACGAGCTCTTCCCCCGGCTCCACACTTGTCTTTGAAGCACGTGTAAGCACGGCCTTCAATATGATGAGCAATCATGATCCCAAGGTAGTATTTGTCTTTGCAGAACATCTTAAGAACCAATTGTTTAAGCTGCTGCAAAGTTACGATGGCACTTCGGGCGCTTCGAGGCCGGGCTGCCACTGCCTGGGCAGCAGCCGCTCGGATTGCACTGCCGCTTTGCCCTGCAGGAACCAGGCAGCTTCAGGCCGCACTCTCCTTGAGCCGCGGTGGAGGCCTGGGCAAAGCACCAAACCAAGCCAAACCTTAACCCCACGAGTTATCTGCCTCACTTCACTCGCACACTCATTGCCCATCCTTTTGAGAGGTCAGCTTCCGCTCCCGGCCGTCAGATGGCACAAGACAGGCTGGGACTGAGATCCACTCTGAAGCCTCATCACGGGATTTCGTTTCGCTGAGTTGCTGCCGATGACGGTGCCGAGAAGATCAGCCCCACCCTCAGCAGCGGGAAGGAGTCGTCCATCGCGACCCACAGGGGCCAAGTGCCGCGAGATCATCTGAAGGCTTCCACTTCAAGCTCCGCGACGGCTCTCGCAAGACTGCCGGTACCGAAGACACTGACGGCCGAGAACTGTGAAGCGTATCCAAGCTGAGGTCTCGGTGCCTTCAGGGGTCACAGTGCTGGAGGCTGCACACATGAACGAGGCAGCTGGAGTTCCTACTCACGAGGACTCGTGTTTTCGAGTTCATGGCGCAGGTTGACTTGGAGGGTGCTTGCGAAGCATCATTGGCTTGCTCCACCTGCCACGTCATCCTCAACACGGACCATGAAAGTGAGACCGACAGGATTGCCACTTGCAGATGCTGCGGTATGCCCGTCCAGGACACCTACGAAAGCTGCGGTGAGCCTACTGAGAAGGAAGAGGACACCAGACTGTTCCATCTGCTCCCAACCACAAAAGGCCTGTGCATGTCTTCCGAGGACCTGCTGGACCTTGCACCCTGTTTGACACCCACCTCGCGCCTTGCATGCCAGGCAGAGAGCCGAAGGTGAGCCGAAGGTGAGGCGAAGTCCACAAAGCCTTGACAGGTGGTCGTCGACGAGAAGCTACGGGACCACGAGGTGACCCTGCCGGCCATGACCTTGAATTTCTATGCCGGACGCCGAGACGTGCCTGAGCTGTCCGAAGCTGCCGTCAGAAACTCATTGCAGGTAGATGGCCATGTTCCTACGCCTCACTGAGAGCATTCTCGACGTGAGTTTAGCCATGTTTAGCCAGGGCAAGCATTTCCGAAATGTTTTTCGGCTGTTAGCTGAATTGCTATACCCGGCCCTCATACCCCGGCACCTGCCAGCAGTAGCAAAAGGACCGCGTGTGATTGAACTTTCGGCACTTGAGCGATCTCCTTTCCGGTGGGATAGATCAGTTGCCCTCCGAACATTTGCCGCCTTTGCATCTTCCAGCTCTGTGGCTAAACTGATGGTTGTCAAGCCTAGGGCCCCTTCGGCTTCCCAAACTACAGGGTCCCGTATTAAGAGTAGAATCTGAGCAGAATTATATCATTTCCAGAGAGAGCCAGGACTTTCACAATTACCTATCTGTTTTACCCTTCCGGGTGGGGTTGGTGTCATCCGTCTGGCCGCACTTTGCGAGTACAGTAGCTGTAACCTAAGCCTGGTACGGAGGGACGCGCTGCAAGTAGAAGGTGATTTCTGCAATGGACTTCGCGTTCGCGAGCCGGAATGCAGCGACTCATGCAGTTGCCAGCAGGCCATCAGGTTTCCAGCTTCAAATCCGCCTTCGTTCTTGTCAGTATGCGGGAAATGCATGGAGAGGTATGTGCACCGAAACTTGTAAGAGCTGCATGTTCGACGCCGATTCCATGTCAGGCCAGCGGCGGCTTCACCGCCTGCACTCGCGCTGCATGAGCATCATGGTGCGCTCAGATTCGGGCAGCTGCCGTTGCAGCACTTGGAGCAGGTAAGACTACAAAGGTTGATTGACTGCAGGAGCGCTATCGAAAAGTACGACCAGTTCCCGAACGGCCCGCCCAGCTCTGGGTGTTGCTGACGTGTTGGCTCGGCGCGGTGATGCGCGGTGCTGGCCTTTGCGTTTGAAAGCGGTGCCTACGCCAGGCCCGGCCAGAGACAGAAGCGGAACCCAGTGTTGCAGCTGAAGAGCAGGACATCTTGCATCCTTTTCGTGGCGCTCGTCTAGTCGTGGTATCCAACAACAGAATGGAATATATGGAATCTCGGGCTGCTATGGTCCACAGCTGTTAAATCAAGGATTAAAGAATCACGGGCATAACACATGCACGAATAAGAATAATGCAGGACAATACAGGTACCGAGCTTTTCGTCACGTGACACATCGTGACACGGCAGTCCGACAGCAGCAGCGGCTGGCATCATGGCCTGGCGCGCAGCGTTTCTTTGGTTTTCTCTGGATCGAGCAGCCGCTTTCGACTTCGATGCGGATCTGACGCAGTGGCAGCAGACAGCAGAACAGTCTTTTGCCGGGCTGTTTTGATGCTTCCAACTGCCCTGTCTTGGCTCGCCGTCAGGAAACAGGATTTGACGAAATGGTGGGGCAAGGCTGCTCGTATGCACACACTTGTCTGCGATTTCTGTACATCTGACAGTCTCGCGAGACACGAGGGTTGCCATCTCGGCCTGGAGCTCTAGCTCCAGAGTACGCCAGTCTGATATTCTCTTCGGAGTAAGCAGGAAGTCATGTACTCTGTGACCTCCCGCGACTGTCTGATGTTCTCGCCAGGCGGCTTTCGAAGGTGCCGTCCAATGCGCGCACCACGATGTTCACCTTGCAGGCGCAGATGTGCCGACTCGGGTGCCTGCTCCAGTACAGCATTACTGCCATACAGCAGGCTTCTTGCATTGGGCTTGGACGCTTTTTCTAGTTGCTTCAATTTCTTGTTGAGTTTTGGACATTTGTAGCGTCTTCTCTGCTTCTCTGCTTCTGACTCCGTGGTTTCTGGCTCCGGGCTTATTCGGCTTGGCTTGTTGCTTCTCGGGTTGTGGTCTCTTGGAATCCTGGAAAGCCTAAACCCTAAACCCCCGACCCCTAAACCCTGAACCCAAACCCGAAGATCCTAAATCCCAAACCCGAAGCCCCAAGCCCTAACCCCCAAACCCTAAACTCAAAACCTCCAAAACCCTAGAACAGAAGACAAACCACAAGCTGAAAACAACACTCTTTTGGGCTGCTTGCCGTCTCTGCCGGATGCTTGTACGATGCTTGAGAGGATACACCCTCTGCAGCCCGGCTGCGCAGCGTGCCGAGAGCACCTTGCGCAGGCTGCTGCGCCGCCACCAATCAGGACGGCACGGGTGCCGGGCTCGTGTACGTTGGAAGGGGCCGCCAGCGTTTAATGCATGTAGCTGGTATTGCCGAGATGTCCACGGCAGTGTTCACATCCCTGAGATTACTTGAAAGCCAGATCGACAGAGTCCGCGATCTGAAACACTGGCTGAAAACCCTCTACACCGCCCAAGCTTGTCCCTTGCTGGGCCGGATGCAGGTGGTGCCTGCTCTGAGTTGCCGGTGGCGATCGCTCAGCATGCTTGGCGGTACAAAGAGGACCTTTGGAAGCAAATCGGACGGACACGCCAAGCTGCAACACAAAGGGTGTCCTTGGTCCAGGAAGAGCTCGACCGATGCCTGGGCCTGGCGCCTGGCGAAAGTTGCGTCATGACCTGCCAGGCAGGAAATCAGCTATTCCAGCACTGGGGTAAGTAACACCTCAGTTGCATTTGCCTCCGGTTTCCTGTGGGCCACAGGATTTTCCTGGCCTTCAAGCAGCCTTGAAGTGTGATGGAGCCAACCTTACAGGCCAAAAAGCCGAGCGATGCTGAGACCTAACAGTCAGCTTGCTACGATTGCGTGATCCAGGCGTTCCACCACCCGGTGACTGCAGGCACCAGGCTTGGAGCTTCGATGAGCTTCGCTTCGATTCGATTTGATCCCCCGCCGCTTCCCGCTGCCAGTTTGACCCGGACATTGTGCACGCGCCGAGTGGATCAGTGATGGGCCTCCTTCGCCGGGTCCCGCTGAAATGGCCCTCTGGCGAGGCCACGGGCTCTGAAGACGGACAATTGTCCCGTAGCCTGGGTTTCGTAAAGGGGTTTCTGCTGCAGGAGACATCAGCGCTGGTGCGCACATTCTGGGGGATTCCTTATGGTGACTTGGCCCTCGGCGGCTCGCTGACCAGGATGAAGTGTTGGTCTGCGGCTCCTGGAACTCAGGTGAAGAGCCAGTGCGGTTTCAGGCAGCAAAAGCAAAGGCGAAGTGGACGGGAGTGAGGGCTTCCGCCGAGACTTCACTGAAGATTCCAAGCCATCTCATCAGTGTCGTCCAAGGGGGCAACTGGGCCAGCAGTCTCCCAGTGCTCAGGACTTCTATGTCGAGTCACCTGGTTTCATCCTGGTGGGCTGCGGCCGGGCTTCTGATGTGAAGTACAACGTAGACTCATCCGAGGCAGCCGGTGCTTTGTCCGAACCTACCCCCGCTGGGAAGGTCAGGTGATGCCCAAGAGGCAGCCGTCGTGACAACACTCTCTGCATGTCACCATCAGTTCACTGGATTGCTTGCAGGACTGCTTGCAACTCCACGTGTATGCACCACATGCGCCTGCCGGGACCCGAAACAACATGCAGGCTGCCGCTACGGGTCGGGTTTCAAGAGCCATGCCCCTTCGACTGACAAGTGCGGCTGAGGCGCCCAAGCCCAGACCGGTCTTTGTTTTCCTGATTCCAGGCCGGGATTGGGATCCTTTTTGCTGGAGCCAGTAACTGATGACTGATCTCAACTGCCAGGAGGCTTTATCGGAACGGACTTTTTCCAGAAGGGCTGGTACGATGCGGCACGTTTTGCTGCAGCCGCCTTATTCGCGTAGGTCCTCTCTCATCCGGTGACAGTGCACACTGACAGTTTCAGGTCGGAAACGATGCAATTTTCATAAGCGTCGGTTACCGAAGTGGCTTCCTTGGCCACTGGGTTCACGAGCAGCTTGCCGAGGAGGAGCTCTTTGGGCTCTTTGCTTGTTCGGGGTCTCGAAGCCCACGCGCCCTACGCTTTCTTGTGAGGATCCCGATGGGAGCACCGGAAACTACGAAGCATTGGACCAGAGGCGTTGCCACAGCTCCGCGTGAGGGATGATCTTATGTTACGGCTCGTTGCCAACAGGGCTCACCCATGGAGTGATTGCTTTACAAGTTACAAGCAGGTCAAGAGTCGAGGGGTACTCGTGTCGCAGGCTGGCGCTACAATGGCTCCTCAGTGTCAAGGAGTTGCCTGAGTTCTGAATGACCTGTGGCGATCGTGGCTACGTAGACGCGAACTGAGGGTGCAGAAGAACATCCAGAGCTTCGGCGGTGATCCAGGCACTGCGACCGCGCAGATGATAGCATGCTGTTCTTGAGGGCTGGCTGGAAGCATTTGTTCGCGAAGAAATGATGCGTCGTCGCATCCAGGCCGTGTCACTTTGGCGGGACATTCCTCTGGGGCCTTCTCCGTGAATTTCCACTTGCTGAGCCCGGGCAGCCGCGGTCTCTTTGCCCACGGCATCCTGGAAGGCACGGCCCTGGAGTCATGGCAGGGACTGGGACAGTTTTTTGGGGGGATTCTTTGGATGCAGACTTTTGAAAGCAGTGCGGCTCCTGCGTGCTAAGGACAGCGGATGGTATTACAGCACCAAGGACGCAGCCTACAAAACACGCGTGATGCGGGTAGTAGGCATCTCCTGCCTTCGTCCCCGTCGGCAGTCGTGACATCTGCCGCCTTGCCTGCAGGAGGATGGCCTTAAATTCTATGCCACGCTGGCCGAGCAGCTTGGCTGTTCCGGCGCGGACCAGATCCGGTGCTTGCGGGCTTTGCCGGTGAGCAGCTTCTACAACTTCTCCAACGTCACCTACCACGAGGCCCGACTCCCGGTCGGATGTCGGAGCGCCGCTCTATGCCCTTCGCTGAGCCTTCCCTCCCAGGAGCTGGGGAAGATCAAGGGCCTCGGCAAGTGGGGCCTGGCCAAGGGCCTCGCCGAGGCGGCCTGGTCCGCCTTGGGCTTCCAGGCGCCCCGAAAAGCGCCTCTCGGAGCTCTCGGAGCTCTGCCCTGCGCTCTGCCCTGTGCTCCGCTCCCTTTGTGCCTCAGGGCAGCTTCCGCTCCAAAGGCTTGCAGCTGGGTGCCACTCGGCTGATCCGGGAGAAGTGCTCCGGGAGAAGTGCAGGGGTCTGCAAGTGAGAGCCTTGCTTCTTGCTTCAAGGATGTGCCCATCCTTGCTGGGCCTCTGTGGCCAGTTCTGGCTGTTGGCTCGGGCCCAAGATGGGAGGCTCTCACAGCCCCCGCAGGACACAGATGCTACAATTTAGTTACCAGTTTCGTCTCACCATGTCGCACCCAACCGGTGCTGACGTCTACAACAGCTAGTTGCAACCGACTCGGGGTTCGCTCTGCTGGGTGATCTTACCCTGCTACGACGAATTTTCTTGCCCAGGAACTTGCTCAGAATGATCAGATACACACTGCATACACCTGCGAAAACCATGGAGGCTTCGTTGTCGATGGTTCGGAAGCTGGCTTACCAGCACCGCCTCGTCTCCTCTACGAGAGCGGCCGCGTCAACCCTGCCAAGGCATAAAGCTGCAGCATTGCTTGTGTGCTCATGGCACATCGTATGTCCCGGCAGCTTCCAGCTTTCCCTGCAGAACGGCGTCCACGCCAGGTTTATCTCAACCACGGCACCGATGAAGGAACTGTCTTCGCCCTCATCATGTATGCAGCATACCCCTGGTACGAGGCGAATGCTGCTGCTTAGGGTACCGACAGTTGTCAGTTCCGTCGGGCTGGCTTCCAAGTTCGCACCTTGAGTGCATTCCGCAAGCGCCACCTGACTTTGTCTCTCCATATGGCTGCACATTGAACTTTTTTTTCCGTGCGTGTGACCTGCGTGTGACGTGTCTTGAGACCCTAAAGTAGCGACTCGTTGCTCGATGGAGGCTCCATCCCTCTCCCATGCAGCGACCGACGAAATCATGACCGAAGCACTGCTCACTGAGCAGCATTCTGTAGATCTGCCACAGCACCCATGACGTTGGAGACCGCATAAAATTGCAGTGCCCGTTTGCAGGACCTGGGCCTTCAATTCATCTGTTCCACAGCTCTACCCGTGTCCTGGCCGCGCAACCAAGTCCTTTTTGAAAGAGTCGAATCTGGCCCGTTATCAGCAGGAGTGTCGTGCGCTTCCGGCTTAACCTCAGGCATGGACATGGAGATTCTGCCCCGTTCTATCGCATGAGTAGGGCGCGTGCCCCAGTTGGACGACACGCCATGCGCCTCACGCTTCATGGATCCACAGCGTTGTTCGAGGCGATCGCCGACAGCACTTTTGTGTGCCCTCACCGGCGCTACGCACGTGCGCTCTCAAAGCCGTGGCCCCAGCCACTTTTCACGGTCTTCGGAACAGTGGCTGGGGCTACAGAAGGGGAACAATGGCCGGGTGCAGAAGATTTCTGACATGGTTGCACTCCAGGCAGATGCCGAACTCAGTCTTCTATGCTGAGACTACCTTTGCTGGGGACGACATGCAAGACAGCAACTGGCTGTCAGCAGCAATTCACAGAGCCTTGGGCATTACTGGCTTTTATGCGCTGCCCTTCAGCCCGGTAGCAGATGCTCGGTGCTCAGCTCAAGATGACTTGGCAAGACCAGGAGACTTGTCATACTTCGTCGGAGCCTGGCACATGAACCAGGCGCAAGATGACGTGAGCTTCTCATACAGCGTGAGGCTGCTGGTGGATGTTGACTGACCAGTCCAAAATCTGCAGGTGCTATGGATATTCGGTGTGAACGACACATTCAAAGTGTGCAACAGCCATTCGGCTTATCTGAAGCACCTGTGAAAGTTGAAAGGCGGACGAGTGCCGGACGAGCTTCTTCCGTTTAGGGGAGCGGGCCGTGCGTCTCAGAAGCTGAGGTACGAAGCCTACGAACCTTGGCTTCGATTATGCGTCATGGCGTTCAGAAGACGAGCTCATGCACAACCTGGTCAATTGCCGCTATGCGCCTTGGTGAAGCTAACTCTGGGTCCTACACGGGGGTTTATTGCTTAGCCCAAGCTCGAGGCGCTCTTCGCGCACTGTGGCAACCCTGATGCGTCGAGCAACTCATCCTGCGCCCAAGACGTGCTCAAGCTTCACAGCTGCAGAAACACCTATGGCCTACCCCACGGTGTCTCGGCAGCACTGCTGGTGCTGACACTGCTGATGCGCGCTTTCCCTCGGGCGATGGCACATGATGGCACATGATGGCACATGCACGGCATGCGCAGCATCATGCGCATGCATCGTGCTGAGGTGCGTTGACTCCAAGACCCTTCCCACCCTTCGAGAAAGCCGAAGGGGGAGCGCGCTTCGCAATGACGCCCTATGCGGAGCCCAAGGTCGTAAGACCCAGCGCGGAGGCCGGCAGAGAAGTCTCGTAGCATTCGTCGCCTCACGGCGCATACATCCGTTTGGTGCCGCCATGTCAAGCCTGTAGACTGTGAGGAGGAGCGGGTGTGTGCCTGGTGGGACGCTGCGGCACCGACGCATTTCATCACCTCGGCTTGCCGGGGATGTGCAGCTCACCACGTCAAGGACACGGAGGGGGGCCAGTCGATCGGTAGGCGCGGTGAGAAGAGGCCTGCGTAACAGAACCAGTGCCCCCAGGCCTAACCTTGAACTCAAAGCCGAGAAGCGGATGTTGCCACTGGCCATGTGCGACTGCTGCGACTGCTGACAGGAAGTGCAGGAAGTTCTCGTGTGAGCGGAGTGAGCGTCCTCAAGTGTGCAATAATTAGGTGGAGAGACTCGGCCAACCGTGGCTCTCGGGTCCCTCTACATATTCTACATGCAGCATGATGACTCGCGGTCTGTGGTGACATTTGGTGACCCCAGGCCGAACAACCAGCTCGCTGTTGTTTGCAAGTCATCATGCCAGCTGTGTCCCAGCAGTTGGAACAGAACGGTGCGAGGCAGATCGTGGGAGTGGGTCCCTAAACCGGCGCACCTAATGGTGCAGCCAGGGAGCCAGCGATCTGCCCACTGCTGAAAATCTACCAGTCATGGGCCGAGTCGCATCCAACCGAATCCTCCGGATTAAACCAGTAATGCAAGGAGTTTGCGTTTTGTTTACCGCACGGGCGGACGTTGGGAGCTGTGGGCGATGGACTCGGCCGTCTGACTCCTGTACAGGCCCATGCTGGCGTCAAGTAATATTTCTCCAATACCTGCAGGCTGCTAGGGCTGGCAGTGAGGGGAACTTTCCCGCAACGGGGACTGGAGTCTCTGTGTGCGGCTCCTGGAAGATGAGTCTGCCAGTCTGCTCAGTGACTGAACCCTGGCGCTGCTTTCGGATTGTCTTGTTGAGCACACGTTATCTTGCTTTGCTCAGAGGAGGTGGCAAAGCTTCTGCAACCGAGACGTCCTTTGACGTACGTTTGTAGCTTGGTGCCACGTCGGACCACGCTTGTATCCTTCATTTGTCTCCTTTCCTTATGCCTTTTTGCCTTTGTTGTCTTTGGCTGTTGAGGTCCGGGCCGCCGTTCCCTCGGAGGCACAGTTTCGGACCTGGGATCCCCCGGCTCGGAGCCTAGCCCTCGGGGCCTAGTCCAGTGGCCCAGTGCGCCGCGACACGATTGCCATGCCTTGCCTCCAGGTGCAGCCGGCAGAGCCGCGCTTGCTCCGTGTAGGACGGCCATGACCATGGGCACCAGTGACAGTTGTGGGATCTTGTGGGATGCTGCGGGCCTGTGGGCGAAGGATTGATCGGCCCACCAAACGCCCTGCTCTTGCCGCGAGACGAGTTCTCAGGCCCTGAGTCGCAGTCGCAGTCTCCAAGGCCGGAAAGTCCTCGCTGATGAACATCATTCTGGACAGCTCTCCACTTAGACCTTGCTGCGCAGAGCAACTGACTCGATAACAGAGTCTCATGAGTCGCTTAGATCCAATCAGCGCCGTGTCGCCAAAGGCAGCCGCTACTTGAGTGCATGTTGCACACACGAGACCATATTCGGACACGTGCATGTGGCGATGCTGGAGCCTTCGGAAGTCCGTTTGGTAGGTGAACACGACTCGTGAGAATGTGCGTGGCGTGAAGACGATCGGCCACACCCAGCTAATCTTCCTGGATGTGCCCGGGACACCTGGGTGGTTCCCGTAGTGTGCTCGCTGGATTAAAGGCATGTGGCATTTCCTTGGTGAACGAAGTTGTCAGACCAGGTGTGCTGGGGCGAACCAGGTGTTTATAGATACAGCCGAAGTCATCACGTGGTAGTGCCGAGGGATTCGTTGTTTCGCAGTCTTAGAGTTGGTTCTTGTGTCGAGAAAGGTTGTTTTCCCTTGGTAAATTGTGCAATCTTAAGAATCTTAGTTTCAATTAAATGCTGGACGGTGGCGAGCAGGTTTGGTTGCGTTGGGCTGCCCGAACCCCTCTAGCACACGCACCGAACACTCCCGACCCTTGCGCATCTACCTTATTTGCCTTGTTCGCAGCAGAGTTCCACTTTGGTGAGGAAGCTTTCCCTGAGTGTTCCCTCCCTGTCGCAATTTGCTTTGTGGCCTCATGTGGCTGGCTTGCTTTCCTGTGACAGGGCATTGTCGTGTGTGAGGGATCCCTGCCAGGGGGACAGGTCCCTCCGCACCAGTGTGCGACCGATCCAAAAGTCGCGTCTAGGGTCGTGTGTGTTTGTTCAAAATGTGCGTTTCCCCGTGAAAAACTTTCAGGCATCAGGCAAGAAGCCTAAGACAACATCAGACAAGAACGCGACTGTCCTCGCCCGTCTGGGCGCCTGTCTGCGCGAAGCGTTGAAATCAAGGGAAATAGTCTCAGCGCCGCGAAGGATCATCCCATCTCATCAGAAGCTCGCCAACCGTGATCTTGTTGCACAAGCTGCTTGGATTCCCATTGTTAGGTACTTACATGGCACATGTTATGTGAATCTCCTCGTTGCCTCCGCTAAGGCATGGCAGGGATACCAGGAGTGCGACGTCTGCCTGCTGGTGATCGATGTAGTCGGGGACTTTCAGAGCCAGCACAAAGCTACGGCAGCAGTGGCTGGTGGTTCCCACAGTCTCATGGAACGGTTGAGCATTGCGTAGTACCGTTTCGAAACCTTGAACACAGTGCAGTCCCCTGCAGTTCCACAGACGGAAGGATCTGAGCCCTGAAGCATGCACAACATTGCCTAACCCTGGTATGCAGTGAGGTGTTTCGATGCAAAATAACCCGGCGCACATGGTGCTGCCGCAGGGTCGCCCCATGCAGACAGCAACAATATCCCCCAATGCTGCCTCCGAGTAGCACAGCTACATACAGCTCCTAGATCCATGCACAGCGCGTGCGAGCAGGTGCAACGGAAGAGCACTTGATACCAAAAACCAACATGCACACATAGTAACAATATAATGTTACAGCGCAATCAAGGGTTCGTGGCATGTCTTGGTTCTGAAGGGGAAGGCATGTGAGGGTCGCTAGGGCTTAGCTCTTGAAACGTAAGACTTGCTGCAACTTGCACCTGAACTGGTCTTCATTTGGCCACCTGACATAGCTGGCTTCGTCCTTGCTTCATATGTAATGCAGCCGCCTGAGATGGACACCAGAATTCAAAAAAGTCTGAAAAAGGTGAAGAGACCGAATTCCGAAATCTTCGACGTGGTCCGCAAGATCTGTCCCAAAGAGGACATTGGAGAGGCAACCGAAGGGCAACACTCCGGTGGAAGTGACAAAGCGAGGGCGAGTATGGTTCGATCGAGACTGCCGCAGGCCGGGTTGCGGCGGCGCATGAGATCCTTGATGGAGGAAGCTGGAGAGCGTGCCTGCGAGAGCAAGCAGAGCGAGAGCCTCCCTTGCTGAAGGTGAATGACGAGGGCGAGCGCGAGCTTCCCGCAGATGCCTACAACCTGCTGCCCCGAAGCCCAGTGGCACGCGTCGCGCAAATCTCTGAAACTCGTGGGCTCCACGGCTCCACTGCATCGAACCGAGGCCACGGTCTCTTCCGGGATGGGCTGGGAATTCCCTAGCATCTCGGGCTCAGGCGCAGCCGCAGACCAGCAGCAGGACGTTGTGAGACCTCTCGCTGCTCAGGACAGACCCCCTGTGACACTTGTGCTCAACAAAGTCGACAAAGCTTCGGAGATGCGTTGGGCCCCTTTCCCAGTGCCCTTACATCACTTGCATCGTCACATTACAAAGGTAATGCCGCAAGAGTTATCTCGTTTCGGAAACCTTGCGTCTGGCCGCAGCGTGTTCTTGCCAAGGTCATGTCCAGGGAGCGGGAGTTCCGAACACATGGCGGGCCCCCCATTCTTCTCATTTGGATTCCGGCAGTGCGGCACCGGGACTCTCCACCATGAGGCCAGTTCGATGGCATCTTCTACACCTCCGCCCTAAAAGCGAACGGGATTGACCTTAGCTCAGTCGGGCCGAGGCGTGTGATTCGTCGGGTCGCGTGCGATTTTCAGGTGACTCTCTTGGAGCATTTGAAGACCAGAGCGAAGCCAAGGCCGCCAGCCGGGAGCCCGAGAGAGATCCCAAATCGATGTCTGGAGGCCGTGGCTCTATCCGGCCGAGATGATTACGACCATGTCTCATACAGAGCAAGTGAAGCATCTTGGCTGCCACGCAGACTGCCTTTATGGCCTGTTTTGGGCCCTACCAGTGGCGGAGCTCAGGCAAGTTGTGAACACTCACATCTTTAAAAGGCCGGTCTTTGGGACTTCATGCCCACACCCCAAGCTGCCCAAGCTCACAGAGAGCAGGTTTAACTCCGACGTCCCCTACAAAATCGAGCAGCAGACGGTCGGTGGGCTCCTTGAAGGTTCGACTCTCAGAGTTTGCAGCACTGGTGCGGCCCGTCAAAGGTTGGACCCCGCGCTTGGATGGGTCGTTGGTGATCGAGCACGAAGTTATAGCGGCAGGCTTACTAGAACCTTTCTGGGACCGGAGCCGAGTCATCTCATCACTGAGGTCAAAGACTCGGTGGTGGCTCGCATGATTCTGGGTGTGCGAAACAGCGTCCTGCACGACTTGAAGCAGCAGGCGCGCATCTGGCAGGATCATCGTATGTAGGTCTTCTTCGCCTTCACTTGCAGCTCAGGTGAGCGACACCTTGAAGCTGCTTTGGGGAGTCCCTGTCGAAGCCCGCATCTGGGTTAGGCGTGACGGCACATGGGCCATGCGGCGCATATCAACCCGGGGCGAGGAGGAACGTTCGTGGTTTGAAACGTGGCCAGGCCTCTGAAGCAACGCCTCAGCAAAAGCGACATGGCCCAGCTGGGCTACGAGTCACAGAGCTCAGAGAGCGACTTTAGAGAGCGGTCCGCACCGAGCCTTCCCAGCCGAGGCCGAAGTGAGAAGAGAGTCCGCTCAGCACCAAAAGGATCCGATCCATCCCATGCCGTGTTCCGTGCCAGTCATGGCCCGTGGCATGGCTCAATGCTCGTGGGGCTCCAGAGCTTCTCCAGCGCTACCACCAAAACCATCAACGACGCATTGCCACTGCCTGCAAGTGAATATTTCTCAGCCTGCAGCTGTCAACATTTCTTCTTGAGACATCTTTAAACACCTTAGACACCCACACACACACACACAGAGAATGGCAAGGGGTAAGGTGTAGCCCACCGTGGGCATCAGAGAAAAGCACCATAGCAGCTAGACAAAATACCGAAGCAGTCTGTTGCAATGGCAGTGCGGGCAGTAGTTCAGACCATGCTGCCTGGTGCCGACTTGTCCAAGCTCTAGGGCTTCATGTGCTTCGTCCGCAATAGTCAGCAATATTTAGGAGGATGTGGTGATGAGTCGGGTCGGGAAAGTGGATACAGCACGTGATCTGCATCGGTGAGTCTCGACGCAGGGACTTGCCGTCTCCTGCTGGGGATCCTGCAAGCTTCCAGCTCAGCCTGTTGTGCGATGTGGCAAGTGGAGGATCCGGAGTCTGGGGCTCGGGGTGCCTGGCGGCTCAAGCACCGCAGCGCCCACGGATGGCAGCCCCGTTTAGAGGTACCAGGATAGTGAGCACCCACCCACACACACACACGAACAACAAACGAAAAGAGCAGCCTGCGCCCGCGCATAACCACAGCCGATCCTACGGTACCATAAGCACCCTCTGATTGTAAGGGTCAGCACATATAATTTGTGTAGACCGCTCCTCGAAGTTCGAAGTAGTCTCGATGATGCCTGGCACTTAGACCGCCTACTGCAGGCCCCCTACTGTTGTGCAAGACTGCAGGCCTGCAGATGACGATGATGTCTTCTCGCCGGACGATATGGAAGCCTACGACCTGGATAAACTGGCTGCAGCTCGGGTTCAGGATTGCGAAGGCGTCGAAGGCGTGGAAGGCAGGGCGGGACTCAAAGCACGGTGTTCCTGCACTACCGCACGACACGCTGTGAGCTCGGAGGGTCAGGCATGGATGTGCCGGCAGAGCGGGAGGCGACGGATTTGGGCACCGGCTTGGAAGGCCCAAAATCTCGCACACAACAAGCTGCCGTGCGACTTGGGTGTAGTTTTCGCCCTCTTTTGTGGCTCTCAGGCTTCGCAGGAGAAGATCTTAGCAGAGTTCCAGGCCTCACAAGCCGTCCGCGAGGGCCCGCGCTTAAAAGATGTCCACCATTTGCAAGTTCCAGGTGCGGAAGTGGAGAGGCCTCTAGGTGTGGAGGAATTGGGCGAGACAGAGAGCCTTGACCCGGAGAATCTCAACGCAGAGAGCCCGAGCAACAACGCAGAGGATCGCTGAACTCGTAAAGCGGACCGGGATCGATCTTCCAGTTCTAGCTCCCAGCCTGGCTGATTTCCTGCAGGAGTTCAATGTGGTTCTGCAGAAGCTTCCTGGAATGAGGCCTTGCCGTCATGCTGCTGTCGACGAGTCGACCCTTTTTCAAAGCGGTGATTTAAAGGTTGGGGATGGACTGTGTTCGGCTGGCCGCCACCTCAGACCTAAGGCTTGGCCGGTGTCGCAGGGTCCCAGAGCAAACATTGGCAGGAAGGCGAGGTTGTCGTGCAGAACGTCGACGAAGGCAACAGCTGCGGCAATGCCGTGTCTAAACACAGCTAACCAATGCAGGCATGGTGGTGGGAGAATGGAATGCGAAGAACCCTGACAAAATCGTCAAGGCCTGCTCGGTGTGGTTGGCGACGAGTAAAGTCATCATCAACCGCGTCTCGGAATTTTGTTGATGCATCCAGGTCGGTGACGTTGTGCGGGCTGTGAACCAGCTTAGCGTTGATCTTGGACGACCTCTGTTCGGAGTGGAGACCAGAAGGCTACAGACACAGACAGTTTCCATGTTAAAGTCGAGGTCCTAGAGATACGCAGACGATGCTTGCGGAGCTCAGGAACCGTGCTCAGTCACGGCCAGAGCATGCCTTTGAGATCCTTTGTGTTCAATGCGATTCTTCAGAGGAACGCCGTCGTCCTCAGCCTTCGCTTCGAACGTGGCCCCAGGGACCTGTCCAAGGCGAAGGCCTGCAACCGCACTCTCTCTCTCTCTCTCTCTCGTCGCTTGGGGATTTGGAGCTGTCATGCCTATGGGGAGCAAGAAATACAACATGACGGTTTGCGCCATACCCCAGGAAAAAAACGAGGACCAGCCGTCGCTGCTCAAGCCGCCAGCAGCCTCAGCGAAGCCCAGAAAAGAGTCGCGCCATCGCCTGAGTCGCCGTGCCGCAGCTGAGGTCCGGAGGTGACCTGATCCGGATGGCGCAGAGGAAGCTGATGGAGGTCACATGGGACATTCAGTCTCCGTAGTTTGCCACAAGAAATATCGCTTCTCGAGGAACAAAACCTGCAACGAGCTCATGCGATGCAAGATGTCACAAGGCGAGGCATCAATATGCATCAATCAGTGATGGGCGCATTCTGTGCAGACTGTGCTTCTACAGATGGCATTTTGCCTGCGAGGAGTGGTACAACAGAGGCACTTCCTAAGCCGACATGGCAGGCCAGTGGTCTTCACTTTCCCAGGAGGGCGCAAGACTTTTGTTAAACTCCTATGCGTTTGTGAGGCAGCGTCCGAGTGGACCTTGGATGGCCGTGTCTGTGAAGACACTTGAAGTCACTGGAGATCAAACCCCCTTTAGGAAGGTGTATCTCAGTCATTAAAGTTCCTAGCGTTCAGAGGGGGGAGCAACAAGTTTGAT